ATCATTTGATCATAGATATAAGTAAGAAGAAACCAGCGAGAGCTCTTAATGCAGTCCATTAGAATCTTTAGGCACATGTCATTTTGAAAGAAATATTTGTAATAAACTTTCTTACTGCTTTGTATCGGTCGGTATGCTAAGATCTATCGGTGGCTTTCAACTGGTCATTCATTGAAATTAGCGACGAAGATAATAAAATTTTTTAGGTCTAGAAGGTAGCACTCGCGTGACTATCGACAATTTATAACCTGCCGCTGCGACCGGCTTCACAACGCCTTGCATTGCAATTTGCATTTTATACACTTTTACGTCTACGAACACTGTAATTTTTCCGATACGAAAGGTCGAACTGTTCTGATTGTGCGTGATTTACGTATACTGAGGTGGCGTTTGGCGAATCTACCATGATGGTCTCTTCGTAAACAATTACAAACCTTTTTTTTGACCGTTCACAGATGTTCTGCGTAGGTCTTCAATAGTTAACCTCATTATAACTGAAAGCCGATGTGGATAACACGAGTCATGCATTTCATAACTGTGGTACCGAACGTGGTAAACACATCATCTACTTAAATCAACTGTAAACTGGGAAAATTGAAGTGGCCCTAAGATTGACCCTTGCGGAACTCCTCTTCCAGCGCAACGTACTGATATCGAGCGGCCAGATAACTTTCAAACCCCGCAACCCAGACATCAGTACCGTCCCGGTACCACAGGTTGCATCAAGAAGAATGGCACGTCTTTGTAGAGGATATTACCTCAGTGAAAAAGACATTAACTAAATTCTTTCCCATTCTTTAAATTATTTTTACCTGAGTTAGCTGGAAGTAAAAGTTCCAAAAGCAGCACAACAAGACCAAGAAAGGTCAAGAAGAATTTATATATCGAACCGCTCCACGAAGCTGAGAAAGTAGTCAACCCTTTGATAAACATCCATTACAAAATAGCTCCCTTCCGCGGGGCAGAATCGAACCGAGCCACCCTTAATTGTAACCAACCAAAAAATCTTAGTTTTCTCTATGATAACCTGGTTTTTTTTGGCACAACTAAAATGTAACACCCCAAATAAGTAATTTAGTGTAAGAGGGATTTGATGCTTTGCTACATACACAAAACTAAACGGTTACATTTGCATGAGCCGAAGTAGAAGATGCACTTCTGGTTGTATAGTTAGGAGTAATAATTTAATTAAATTAATTAAATATTTATTTAAATCTTGCTCGCGTCTTAAATTAATTAGCCGGATATTGACTACAAATGTCTAGCGTTGTTGAATTTGACCAAAACGTTTTTTTTGTCTTTTTCTCCTTACAGCGGCAGTAACAACATTTCTTAGCGGTTTATAGGCTTTCTATTTCGATTTGACATATGATTAGCATTGATATCTTTGAATCTAGGTTTATGCCCGTAGCGACATCATTACACGAATTTCTAGTTATTAAGACAGTTCTAAACGGAGATAGTACATCAAATAACGCGGTTACACAGACATTGATGTATTCTACTTCAGGGTTAGTACTCCTATGCCTATCATCAAAAAATTGCGAAGAAGTTCGTTCAAAATTCATCGCATCCGTGTTTTTGAAGTCCATTTTTGATATTATTTTACAGAGTGCGTCATTAGTCCCGGAATAGTCGAGTATCTCGAAAATTATCTATTAAAACAAAACAGACTAAGAGAACTACCGAACAAACTTATGGTCACATAAGAACATGCTGTAATTCTACATTCCGAACTGCATAAAGCTCCCTGCTTTGTTGCTCAGAGATGGACAATCATTATGATACCAATGAAAGTGCTCAAGTTAACCTCACTCTGAAACTGTTGGTCAAATGAGGCAGATCATTAAATCAGTGTTTTTCGGAAAGGCAATTTCTATTTAATTTGTTCTTCAAGTTCGTATCAAATAAAGTGACTCGTGCTTCGGTGTGTGTAGTGACGACTACAAGTGGCTCGTCGGGGCTATTGTCATTGTGGCCGAATGCGAGGATCAGTGGACTTTAGACTGATTGGAGAGGACCGTCCCTCTTATTAGGCCCTGGGATGGCGCGTCTCTGAACGTTCAGAGGCGTCCCTAGGGTAACCAAGGTTGTGTTATACGAGCTCCCGGATGACACGGCCACCATCTTGAAGCGCCTCTAGAGGCAAAATCCTGGTTTCAGGACAAGCCAGGGGACAAGCCGTTATCAACCTCGAAGAGGCGTCGGGATTACAACCGATGCCCTCAGAGATCGAGAAAAATGCGGACGAGCTTAGGTTCGTGGGGCGGTTCTTGACTGCGACCAGGGGTGGAAACCGTCGGCACCACTAGGGGAGGGGGGAACGTAGTGCATCAGTGATGGACGAGGTGACCTTCTTACAGTGCGGGGTTGACCTGTTTAATAGACCGCCAACTTGCGGGAAAGTAGACAAGAACCTTGGGTGGGTTTACAGAGGACGAGTAAGAGGTCTGTGCCAGGTGGTTTTTGTTATAAGAGGGACAGCCAACTGAACCCTAGGACATGCATTTATGTCGACTGATGAATCGAGTCTTATCTAATGGCTGATTTCTGCTTCAGGGATCTCGTAACTCTAAGACTTCAGTTCAAAGATGGCAGAGAACGGAGCAGGTCTGATACTACTACTACACAGTCTATTTCCCGTACGACTCTAGAGGCTCCACCAACCAAGGAACTGACTGAGTTGATAGAGTACTGTCAAAATAGTGGGTCATAGGAGGACAGATGTAAACGCGGACCTTTCGAAGAACCAAAAGAACTCCTTGGTGGAACTCAGACCTTGAAAAGGTTCATAAGGACCATATTCGAAGGTCTAAACGAGAATCATGGAGGACCTGCTGTGGTAACATGGAAGATCTTCCTGAAGTTCAAACACATCGTAAGATGAAAGACCCGGGGCGAAAAGCGGGGACACTGCGGCTTCCATGTGGCAGATATACGTCTAGCGCGGGTGAGGTTCTCGCATTCCTAGTGGAAACACACTTTCCAGGCTCTGGGGTCTACGTAGCTTCGTAACCACCCGGGTAAGTGGGTGTAAGGCCGATCGACTGGAACGTAGATGCCCGGGTGGATACCGAGGGATCTCTGAGATGGGCGATTAACACTGTATCTAGCTGCGAAAGAAGGGGGATAGGCACAATGGGCCTTTGGTGTGCCTAAGTGCTGCCTGGTCGGGCAGCCTGTGAATAGAATAGGCAATATCACCTCTTCGAGTCATGGTATGCATAGTTGATAATTCGCCACTGATTTTTATGCACAGAAACTAAACTGCTTCCTTTTAGGTCTAGTTTGTAGATCAATAACTTGCACCAGTTTAGTCGGCGAACTGCAAAACACTAATAAATAGCAAACTAAAATAAACTTGATTAGGTCATCTGATAAAGTGACCACTAATGATGATCACTAGTCACGTAATGATGGCGGTTATCTATTCATTGTTTATTGCCCACACATATTTGTCACACTCGTGGTTTATGCATGTCCATTGAATAACCTTTATTGTGGTATTTACCCACATTGCTGAACGATTTAACATAAGAATGTATTTAATTAACTCTTCGTTCTTTTTAACCTTACATAATTCTGTTTCGGTTTAGTTTGGAAAGCATGATTATTTCGTCATTCGGCCACAATTCAGTATTTCACCATTGAGGTTGGGACTGATACCCAAAGCGTAAAAAAAGCAACACATCAATTGAGAAGGAAGCTTCATTGCAACAGGTGGCAAAGTGCCTTTTAACTTTTTGAGAAAGCAACAGTAAAATCAAGTAAAACAGTTAGCTACACTGCTAACATTTGAAATAAGACCTTGGTTAGCGTTCTGTCATGTTTTTACCCCGAACAATAAATTCCTAAGTTAGTATTGGAATTTCATAGTCATAAACAAACACAAAAAACAATGGTACTCAAAATTACAAAACATAAAAGCACCTTCCTAAGATAATTTCATGCGCCCTCTAAGACAACAATTACGCCTATTTGCATACGAATTGAATTTCGTCATAAATCCTACAACGCTACGTGGAGATGTGCATGTATACTAATCACGGCATTGAAAATAAATTAGCAAGTACCACTAAAATGGAATCGATCATAGGAAGGCGTGGTGTAGGTAGACACAGTGACAAACGTTCATTATTACCAAATATTGCTGAAGTCTATCATTGCAAAAAGGATTGCATCAAACCCTCGAGCAAACCTCTCACCGATTTCATTTCGTTCACATGCTTAATTGCCTGGTATATCAATCGCTTCAAACAACTGGAAAAATTATTAAAAGCAGGTCACTTGAATACCCAATTAAGTGCTTTCCACTTTCTTTTTTTATCAGGATTTTGTTGATAAGTTAATGCTTCCAATTTACAACACAAGTGGAAGTTTGAATAATTTACAGAAATTCAATTACTCATTGATCTTCCAACGGATCAGTAACGTTTATGAATTCGTTTCGTAATAATTCCGTAATATTATTAACAGAATTCCTCCAAGTGTGAAGGAATTTCAAATTTGAAAAATAAATTTTGGCAACTCTCTATAACTGTAAATACCTTAATGTAGGAAATTACAATGACGATCAATTATTCGGTTGTACCTCCAAAGTTGTAGATCGCATAGGGTCAACAACACCGGGTGATTTTAATGATAGGTCAAGAAACAAAACTTACTCATAATTTCCTTTAATATCCTTTGTACGCTCTTTCCATTTTATACCATTTTTAATTTTTTCGCACAGAAATGGTAATATTGGCACCGCGGAAACCGACTTGGTTAGCTTTTGAATTTTTTCAAGTGTTTCACTCGTCGAGAAAATCTCATTTTTTTAAATCTTGATCATTGTTTAATTCAATCGCACGCACTTTAAAAAATTGTTACTACAGTTAGCAATGCCACGGCGTTACTGCACCCGCGGCATTCGTAAAGGTACGCAATAGTGGCGCCACCTACTTAGCGCTAAAATCTCCAGGTAAATACGTTTATCAAAATTGGTACCAAAAGTGATGGTCACCGGGCAATCATAAACAATTAAAAGTGGAATGTGGTTCTGAATCATTTAACCTCTCGCTAATTACTGTTCACAATTTTTTAGTCAAGGATAATAGTTCCAATGTTTTTAACAAAAATACAAATTTCATCCTATTGAGTAACGTCGATCCGAAAGGTGGGTGGTAGGGTTTTCGAAACAACTTTACTTCTACCTTTAGGAAGCAAGGTTTGATGTTTTTCAAATCTAGGTAAGCGTTTACACCTAGAGAGACTGATATCAAAACCGTTTTTTAAAAGAGGTGAATACGCAAGTGCATTAAACCGTGGTTTAACCAACAGTTTCGGATTAGGTGTTGGAGGATTCCGTCCAAGAGCATGTCATAAAATGATTGCGAGTGATTATGTATTGGAACTTTGCAATGTCTTCTATACGGGCCAGGTAAAAAAGAAAGGGTGCAGGGTAAACGTTAATCTAATGGTTTTAAGGTGGAGCCCAGCACTTGCATGCAGCGGATGATGGGTAGCGTTAAAACGGGAATTATTCTTAAGGATGTATCTTTGACAGTGCAATCTGGAGAGGTACTCGCTGTATTAGGATCAAAAGGTAAATAAAACCACTACACTTTATTTTTCGCGCAATCGCAATCCGAGTGATGGATATTATTTGTAAAACAATGGAGAGTGACTTTTACATGATTTGTATCTCTTTTCATGCATCACATACTTTCTTCTTTTACATGAGTTCAAGCTTTCCCGGTGAAGAAACATGCAACATGGGATCACATATTCTGAAGGAGATATTAGCTGTTGTATGTACAAAACTGTTCGAAATTCCGACGCTTCTAGCAACCCACATTCAATTATAGCTATTTCTAACAACCTTCATTCTTCTAGCAATGTATCAATTTTTAATTGTAGGAAATGTAGTTGACAAATGTTTACTTGGTATGTGTGCGACGATCATTTACATTGACACAACCGAATTGTTTTTCATGGCGCGATTGTTCAGCCAAATGATTTACCAACAGTCAGCCCTTTCATTAAAAGATACTTCCTGCTATATGCCTTACTTAAAGCGCGCTTATTATGCGGAATAAAGATTAGTTGCCTCCAAAGAATTGAGGTTTTACGCATTTATTTGCCTAAATTATTGCCAAAACAATAATCACAACTTACTCCACTAATAAATACGTTTTGCTGTTTCCATAATAAAATCGATAGGTAGATTAAGATTTAGGGCCAAACAAATCCCTTTCTGGTCAGGAAAGTGTAATGAACCGTTTTACCAACGGAACTGCTCGTAAAGATTTGCAACAGGGTTGAACTTCCTTTCTTGGAATAAAAGAGACTTCTCAAATACGACTTGAAGCTTTTTGTAAATTTTATATACGACCTCCGGCTAGCTTTTGAAATAAATTGTCCGTAAAGACGAGTACATTAATAAAGAAATATTATTAATATACTTATAAGAAATTTTAGGTCCCCTAAATTAAATCAATCAATCAATGATACGGAGAAAATAATCCTGAAACTCCAGATTGGAAACTTTCTCCAGCGAAATCAAAAGTTCTAGTTAATCCTTGTAAGATAAAAAACATTATAACATCGTTGAGACATCGAAGAAATTTTCCGACAAGTTAATCCTTGTGCTCATGAATTCCAAACATGTAAGAACCGGGAACATTTGTCATTAACGGGCTTTAGAAATGACTGTGCACACTTTTTGATTCACAGAAAAGGGGAAATTTGTTTACTAAACCAGTCGTTTTTTCACTCTAATGTAATCAACTGCGGGCACTTATATTAATTTTGAAGTTACGTATTCCAACAATAAAATTGAATCCCCTTTTGTTCACTATCGGTGACGCAGCTGGATTTTTTATAGCGAAAATATCCTAGTGCGTTTAATTAATCTGTCCTTGTCTGAACACTGTTGTAATTTATCCGATGAAATCGTGCGTATTTTACAATGAGAATTTAACGTCCTCTGGTTGTACAATAATGGTGCAATAAATGACAATCCCTTAATCCCCTTCTAGATATTAATTGATTCTACTGTACAAATTGGGGAACTTGCGTTCAATTTAATAGTTCGCACTCGAATTTTCTAAACTGGCGTTTTCTGTTATGCCCGAAAAACACCAACTTTCGCACAAAGTTACTTAGCGACGAATATTTCCCTCATATGTCATAAATGCCATATGAGGTGTGCAATTATCGCTCAATTACAGCGACAATTCAATGCGATTATTCAATGACATTTGTCAAACTTCCACCAGTGAACTGACGCGAAATTTTGTCGTATTAACCGGAACATTCTTCTTAGTTTGTTAATCAATTTCGACAACCGACTTATCACCACATCTTTTAATTTAATCACTCATAACGAATTAGCTTGGAGCCCAAAAGTTCGAATAGAATCAATAGCAAAATGAAAAGCAACTTCCATAATTTATTTTGACGTTTATTGTTGTCATGGGAATACATTCGCGTGGGTAATTATGCTTAATTTTTCTTTTGATTCATTGAATAGTCCTCCGAATACCATTCGTAGTCGAAGTATTTGTAGATTATTTTTGAGCTGCTGTTCCACTCATGCTAGTTACGCTTTTTAATACCCCTCGCGCAAGCGCTCGTGGTATTAATCAGCGTAACTAGCATTCGTGACAGCACCTCAAAAATATTCGACAATACTTCGACTACTTATGGTATTATATATGACAATTCAACTCATGTATAAAAAATCGCATAAGCCGCAGTGCAATTGTCACTTTGACAGCGGCAAAAGTTACCTGCATCTTTCCCAGCGACCAATGCACTAGTGGTTTTTTCACTATTCATTTTCGAACCAGTTATCGCATTATCCTTTCCCATATGACTAGTTTGACGTCTGTCAATAATTGATTAGTTTGGTGAATTTCTTGTTCGTTAAATTGTCCTGCCGAATTACACTCGAGGTTTATATTTAAACCGAGTAAATTTGGGTTGTGCAATTCAAATCTGTTTCCTTTTAGCAATTGAACTCGAAAAACTGTCAACCTAAAAATGCTCCACCTTCGGTGTCGCATTTTTATTAGTTGACAGTTTTTCTCGTCTAATTGCTAGGCAACAAATTTTCATTACCTAAACAACCCAAATTTACTCGGTAAAATACAAACCTCTTGTGCAATTATAAGTGACAATTCAACTCATGTATAAAAAATCGCATAAGCCGCAGTGAAATTGTCACTTTGACAGCGGCAAAAGTTACCTGCAACTTTTCCAGCGACAAATGCACTAGTGGTTTTTTCACTTATTCATTTTCGAACCAATTATCGCATTATCCTTTCCCATATGACTAGTTTGACGTCTGTCAATAATTGATTAGTTTGGTGAATTTCTTTGTTCGTTAAATTGTCCTGCCGAATTACACTCGAGGTTTGTATTTAAACCGAGTAAATTTGGGTTGTGGCAATTCAAATCTGTTTCCTTTTAGCAATTGAACTCGAAAAATTGTCAACCTAAAAATGCTCCACCTGCGGTGTCGCATTTTTATTAGTTGACAGTTTTTCTCGTCTAATTGCTAGGCAACAGATTTTCATTACCTAAACAACCCAAATTTACTCGGTAAAATACAAACCTCTTGTGCAATTATAAGTGACAATTTTTTATTCAAGCATGTTGTCAGTAAAAAACTGCATTCGGTCATTTTCATATTTTTAAAAGAGCCCTCCACCTTCGGTGTCGGGCTCTTTCGCCAAAATATGAAAATAAACTCTTGCAGTTTTTAGACAATAAGCTTTCAAAAATATTATCGGTAATTTTGATGCACTTGTGCAATTACCTACGAAAAACTACGTGGTTATTCCTTGCTAGTTCTCGAGTAAGATTCTATTCAGACGCGAAATAATCAAAATTTTGAACCAGGCCAATAGATCATACCTAAACATACCCAACATATGCTAAATTTGCAGTTTCCACAATGCTGAAATGATCTCATGACGAAATCGTAGTTGCAATCAAATATTCCTAATTAAGATAACAGATTAGTCCAGAATCCAAGAAGAAAACAATGCCCGTACTCATTAAAAGATGCAAAAAGGACCATCTTCTAATTCCATTCCCCCCAAACGGGAAGTAAATAAAAATTCGAAAGGAAAGTAACCATTTATATACAATAGGCACTGCATTGAAAACCAAATAGGACTTTTGTCTGTTAGTGAAAAGCAAATCTTTTACGATAAAGCTCATTGACTAATTTCAAGGAACGACTCTGCATATTAAAGTAGGAGTGGTCCTATGGTTAGCGAACTAGACTACAAAGTCAAAGGACCCGGGGATGATTTCGGGCCCGCCAGATCATCTCTGGCGCTTTATCGTCTAATGACTCTCTAATGGGCCTCTAAAGTTGACTACTGGGAGTTTATTTCTGGGGTAATACTAGACAGATAAATAGCTTACTTGGGATTCGTTCCAGATACAACAAGGGTTAAATTAAGCTATAACTGTACAGCACGCAAATTCCCACAAAAGAGGGATCAATAAAGTGTCACTTAACTGTTGTCTAATTTTTTACCAACTAAACGATGGAATTACTCCGCAAACTCCTATCGTACTGTTTTTACTGAATTAGGGTTACAATTATCAATTTTGTTGTAGGGAGTGGAAAAAAGGCGCTTCTAGATGTCATTTCTCGGAGAGTTCAAGGGCCCACGCGTGGCCAAATACTTCTTAATAGTCAACCTATGAGCATCTCCCTATTTCAACAAAGGTGCGGGTATGTTTCTCACAAGTGCGACCTTATCCCGGGCCTCAGCGTGCAAGAGACTCTGTATTTTACTCCGACAAAGGTAACTTGCTTCCAAAACGGACGACCTACAATATCCGGCTGATTCAGGTTTCAGGATACACCAAAAAGACCAAAGTAAAGCAAGTGATGGCGGATCTAGCACTTTCACAGATGGCCAACCGCTGCACGGAATATTTAACCCAGAGTGAATACCGGAGGTTAATAATTGGCGTTCAACTGATTAAAGATCCAAGTAATTTTTTATTTTGATAACTGTCAGGTACTCAATTACAAATTTTTAGTCATTCTTCTACTGGACGAGCCCACTTTGGACCTGGATCCATTAAACACATACTTGGTAATATCGATCCTCTCAAACGCAGCGAAGAAGTACGGAACCGCCATAATTCTCACAATGGAAAAGCCACGATCTGATGTATTTCCATTTTTGGAGCGAGTGTTGTACCTCTGTCTGGGCGACGTGGTGTATATGGGAGGCACTCGTCAAATGCTCGAGTATTTTAATGCGATTGGTTTTCCTTGCCCACAATTAGAAAACCCTTTGATGTATTATTGTAAGTAATGCTTTTTTTAAATGGGAAGCTAAAATGTGTAAGTTGTAGTGTGTTTGTCTACCGTGGATCGCAGATCACGCGAACGATTTGTTGAGAGTAACCATCAAATAACGGCACTGGTAGAAAAATTTAAAATGGAAGGAAATGCTTACAACAAAGGAGCTTTGTCACATACACTGGAAAGGGGTAACGGAATGGTAGGTCACAATAACAAAATACCTCTACTGCAGGGGAGGCCTTCGTCTTTTTATGTAGGTTGGATCCTTTACATGTGAGAAGAATGGGCTAGAATCGGCTAAACAATGTTATATTTACAATTTTAGGAGACTCCTAGTTGCGACAGTTAGTGTACGAAAAGCAGGACTAAAGCAATTATTTCTACGATTGTTTTTTGTTCCACTGTATTTCTTTATTTTGTGGTGTTTCTACAATGACATAAAGGTAACGGTAATGATCTGAAATGGATCTAACGTTCGATTTTCAGAAATATCAACACACCTTTATAACTCGTAATGGTTTCATTTTTAACGTATTAGCTGGTGTTAGTTTTCTGGGAATCATTAACACGGTGTTAATTTGTAAGTAATATGTTAACTTAATTAGCCCGACTCATTTAGTCCATGCAGATCCAGCTTATCGTACAAGGTACTATCAAGAATCCCAGGAAGGTTTATATGGAGGAACGTTATTTTTAATTACGTATAATTTTGTGTCTATACCATTTTCATTTGTCTCCATACTTGCAGCTAGTGTAATTGTATATCCGTGAGTGATCAGTCTCCCTCTTGCTACTTTCGCTATTAGGAATCGAATTTCAGGTTGGTTGCCCCAATCGCCAATGATCCTTTGCAAGACTTCCTCTTCGTACTCGTTCTATGGGCTTGCTACATATTTACAGAACAGCAAACTATGGCACTATTGATGATAGTGAAAGACTATTTAACAGCCGCAATTTTAAGCATTTACATAACAAGCCTCTGTTTGGCACTAAGCAGTGGGATTTTAAGGTCAGTACCTATCGGGGTAGATAATCGTATCCTAAACCTGCGTTTGTAGATCTATGAAAGGATTACCAGAATGGCTCTATTATTTAACGTATGCAACACAGACCAGGTACGCAGCCGCATTTTTAAGCAGGCAAGTGTTCTTGGCACCGGAACTTCACGACCCTTTGCCGTACGACGCCCATCGCAATTGTAGCAGCATGGGTCTTATAGAAACTTCAAACGTAAACGGTTTGACTAACGCCTTTTGCCGATACGCCAGTGGGCAAGCTTTTCTAACTGAAAGATACGCGAGGGAAAACACAGAGTTGATATTCAGTGGGATCCTAGATGTGGAAACGAACATCGGAGCATGTTTTGGATTTGCTTTCGGCATAGTGATTTTTAACATGTTTTTATACCTTATACCATTACCGGCGTTTGTAAAAGCGAAGTTTCGTGAAGAATAAGTTACTAGTGTAAGAAAAATGTATTTATTTATTAAATGTTTTCTCTTGTGATGATTATTGAAAGTATTAACGCATATAAAATATGAAACATTTGTTTCTGGCATTGGATACTTCCACTAACTCTTGTTGAATTTCTTCGCCTCAAGGAATAAAGGTAGGGCTAGAGACAATAAAACAACAATATTTATTTATTAACGAAACGATTCTTATTCTTCTCATTACCCAGCTGCGAAAGAATTAGGATGAGGCACCTGAAATGGATAAAAAAAACACATTCGTTCAATTTCAACCAGATATCATAACTATTGGTTGGAATTGATTAATTAAACATTTATTCCTTGCTCATTCAACAGCAAATTTATATAAAAATCAAGCGAATGGACATTATTGGGAAGTACTTTGTACAAATAGTATTGAGTTCGGAAATTCGCGCCCGGGTAATAGTATCTCTCTTCTGATTCTCAACGAGATACGGTTACTAACGGTCTAATCTGACAAGGGCAATTAAATTACAGATCACGTACCTACCTATGCCGCAAAAAAGGAGAGTGATTATTTTGATAAGAAGTGCAAATGGCGCCTTTTCTGATACTAATCGCAAATTTTGACCAAAATTAAACTTTAATCTGATAATGTCGATAATGACAATTACAAGATCCTCTGATAATACTGCATCAATGAACTTGATTTTTTTAGAAATAGATCGCAAGTAGGTGCTGTCATTTTACAAATGGAGACGGCTGAGGGAAAGGTCGAAAGAGGGTTGTGGATTCATCTGTCGACATGGTTTTAAGCCCTACATTCGCCTTTAAACAAGTAGTACCTATCTGTACCAAAAATAATGCATGATTTTTATCCATCAACGACATAGAAATGGGAGTTATTTGACGTACATATAAGCCATAGTCGATATCCTGATCTTGTATACATAAGAGACCAAAACTTTGTCGATACTGTGTGTCTAAAAATGTTGCGCGTGTGTGAAAATAATGACTAAAACGGGAAAGAGGATAGGGCAACTTTCATCGTCTATCCAGAATCTAAACTTTTGACTTTTAAGTACTCGCACCTTTCTTCCAAACGAGAACAATGCTGAGTGAAATCAGTCGCAAATGAGTTGCGTTTTCTATGATTAGTAATACTTAATTAACAAACGTGACTTCTAATTTTTGAGGGCGCTTGAATCCTTTTAGACGATTTAAGATAGAGATAAATACTTTGAGGAGATATTTCCGCACTGCTGGCACTATATCGTTATCAATAAATCCATTTTTGTTCACTTTAATTATTTTCCTTATTCCACAACTACTCTCGCGTATGGGCTTTTACAGAGAAGACACACGTGACATATCGTGTCGAAACTTTTCTCCCCATACATTGACTATACTTTGGATGTGACTCCCATATCTGTTGTCACTGGAAAATATACACTTTTTAATGAACATCCCACAACAAAAAGGCAAAAAAATTAGCCCTAAAGATCGATCCAGTCATGCAATCTTTTCCCCCCGACGTCAAAAGTGATGATCGAGAATGCGCATTGTTCCCTAAATGTATAAGAACCAAAACACATTGTGCTCGTTGACTTGTACATTTCTTATCCAGCGTCGTGCTTCCCACCCAATTTTTAATTAATTTGTCCGCTCCCGTCATTGTATCCAATTCGGTTGCAAATATACATATAGACGTTTTCCTCCAAATTGCTCCGATTGATGTGAACTTCACGAAGGAACTGAAGGTAAAGTTATCGACTCTTTAATTGCCAAAATAGTATTTTTGGAAATAATTCTGCGCAATAGGAGAAAGGATGCGATTAGAAACGTTACGGCAATTGGCAGACAAACTACGACCTACTGTATCTTTACAACATATTTGGAACCTGATCTGACCTATAAGCGAGCACTGTGGACAGGTCCCACAATAAATTGTATGGTGGGTTTTGGATCACCATTGATGCTAGGGGTAATGGCCAATGGCCCTGAATATATCAAATTTGGTTCCAATCGGTTTAGCTGTTTAGCCGAATGTGAGAGTACAGATCGACTGACAGACCGACATTATCGAGATTTTGTTTGATTCGGATTACCGGTGCTTCAGAACTTGTATTTCCATCAAAAAACGTGGAGGGGGGTGATTTTTTACACTAATGCAATCCCTTCCTTAGCAACGTGCGGGTGGTAATTAAATAGGCCATACTAGTTCATGTATACATATAAGTGTCAATTTTACCGGAAAGAATATTGTCAGTTACCCCATCAAAAAACCAAAACGTTTATCTTTCCAGTACCCGCGTGAATTACACTTGAAATCTTCCTAAATAAAAAATTCTGATTTCTACTTGTCCGAATGAATGTATTTTTACTAAGCGTTCCTACAAGTGCAACTCTTATTGATGACTTGGTTAGCAAAATCGAAACTATTCGGACTCATTCTTCTTGTAATATACCTAAAATTAAAGTCATCCCAATAATACCTTGTATTAATTGCAAATTGTCGTACTTTTAGCACTCTTTGGCTCTTTTCGCATGAAGATAAGAAGAAGATGAATTATGCCAACTCTATATAAAAATAAAGTGAAATTATTATGCAGCTAATTAAAGTCGTCTCCTTTTTCCATTTACAAAAAAGGAATGCGTACTTTTTAATGGTAGGTATATAGAATAGTATGAATTAATAAATATCAATAAAATAAGATTCATTACTCAGTACAAATGGGTGAGAACCCAAATTGCGTCGCAGTCAGGAACAAAGAGCCGTGAATGTATCTTATCGAAAATTGCGATTCGTTCACTGCATAAGATACTGTCTCATATGATGCAACTGAAGTACCTACTCCCTGTAGGTATAAAAGGCGACCGAAATTCTGATTACGGCACCTTTGGAATCCAATCGACGAGACGTAGACATGAACGGATTTTTACTACTGCTTCTCGCGACCGGCGTTTTTGGTAAGCGTTACTTTTCTAAAGTATTATTGCCGCTAACTCGCTAAATTTTGCAGGTGCAAGCATCAAAAATGACTGGCGCATCGTTGGCGGAGAGGTTGCAGCCAAGGGTGCTTATCCTTACCAAGTCTCTATACGTGTACGACACCAGCATAACTGTGGAGGATCCATCATTGACGATACCTACATTCTAACTGCCGCTCACTGTCTGGTTGGGTACGTGTAAGAAATGTGTAAGATGAATCTACTTAACGCGCTTCCTCCTTTTGCAGATTTGAGTTCATGCCCATGAGTGTCACAGTGGGATCCAACACTTTGAATAAAGGTGGCGATTACTATGAAATCTCTAGACGCAGACCCCATCGAGGATTTGACCCCATGACGTTAAAGAATGATATAGGCTTACTAAAGTTAAAAACTCCAATTAGTTTCAATGCAAATGTTAAACCTATTCAGTTAGAAAGTACCTATTCAGACGGCAATTTTGGCTGTGTGTTATCGGGGTGGGGAATGGTGAGTTTTCCCGGTGATTCACCAAACGAATTACAGTACATCAACTTGGAAACCCTTCCTTTGGCCGACTGCGACAATATATGGAAAAGTTCCGGTATAGCAATAGATGAAACTCAAATTTGTACTTTTACCAAAGTTGGCCAAGGAGCATGCAAAGGCGACTCCGGTGGCCCATTGGCCGACGCATCTGGGGTACAAATTGGTGTTGTATCATTTGGACAGCCTTGCGCCGTTGGTAGTCCAGACGTTTACACCAGAACTTCCGCTTTCATAAAATGGATTGAAGACAACAAATATTAATGTTCACCTTTTAATGTACTTATTATAAATTGCAACATAATAAAAGTATATTGTCTTAACAATTAGCACAGAGTGCAAATAGTAATTAATCTCTGTTTTTTAACCATCAGGAAGGCTGAAATTGACACACAAAAATCTTAGTCCTGGACTGGCGCCGCGCCAATTTTACACCTACCCTACCATAATTGCTGTTGGTATGCTCACTTGTCATATTTAATCGCATCCTTACCGTTGTACTTATTTTGAGTTTTTGAATGTTCCATTCGCATAAATTTCAATAAGAAACATTTCTTATCTTCCACCGTGTTGCGTGTATACAAAATCTCACGTGAAATAGGTACAAAACCGGCCAGATGTACGACAAATGTCCTATTTATCGCTGTATAAGTTTAATAAAGCAGATTAGTAAGTATTCGTAGAACAAGTCAAGAGCAGTGTTGGGTAGTATCTAGATCACATGGATCTTGGATCTGGATCGAAATCCTATTTAGATGATGATCTTGTATCTGGATCGAGATTATATTATATCGATCTTCCACTCGTACATCCAAAGATTAATTTCAATTTATATAAAAATGCTTTTTTTTCAAAATTAACATTGGCGGAGTAACGGAAGTAACTCGAAGCGGTTGGCCTGCGCCTGAACCATGGCAAGTGCGAATTCGGGCAACCGTCAATACGCGTCCTTGGAAAAATTATTGTTGCCAAATGCATACGCTCTGATCCTGCAAGGCTGCAAACATTCCGGGACCTACCTACAGTAATACCAACAATACCTTGTATTTATTTGCAAATTGTGGTACTTTTAATCTCTATTCGCAGATAAATTATGCCGATTATGTAAAAATAAGGAGAAATTATGCAGCTAATCGTCGTCCCCTTTTTCCACATAATAGGGAATGGATAGTTTTGAATGGTATAGATTTTGCAATAAAATTCATTACCAAAAGTAAAAGTGGATGAGAAGCCAAATTGCGTCGCAGTCAGTTAAACAATAGGAACAAAGGGTCAAAAACTTATCTTATTGAAACTTGCGATTCGCCCACAGTATAAGATAAAGTTTAACTGATATGATGCATCTGAAGTACTCCCTGTAGGTATAAAGGCGACAGAAATTCTGATTACGGTACCTTTAGAATCCAATCGACGAGACGTAGACATGAACGGATTTTTACTACTACTTCTCTCCACCAGCGTTTTTGGTAAGCGTCACTATCTAAAATATGATTGCGGCTAACTCAACGAATTATGCAGGTGCAAGCATTAAAAATGACTGGCGCATAGTTGGCGGTCAGGCTGCAGCCGAAGGTGCTTATCCTTACCAAGTCTCTATACGTGTAGGAGACCAGCATAACTGTGGAGGCTCTATCATTGACGATACCTACATTCTCACTGCCGCTCACTGTCTGGTTGGGTGCGTGTCAGAATTATGTAAGATGAATTTGTTTCACGCGTTTCTCCTTTTTGCAGATTTGAGTTCGTGCCCATGTCTGTCACAGTGGGATCCAACACTTTGAATAAAGGTGGTGATTCATATGAAATCTCCAAACGCCGACCCCATCCAGGATTTGACCCTATGACGATAAAGAATGATATAGGCTTACTGAAGTTAAAAACTCCAATCGTTTTCAATGCAAATGTTAAACCTATCCAGGTAGAAACTACCTATTCAGACGGAAATTTTGGCTGTGTGTTATCGGGGTGGGGAATGATGAGTTTTCCCGGAGATTCTCCAAACGAATTACAGTACATCAATTTGGAAACCATTCCTTTGGCGGTCTGCGACGAAATATGGAGGCGTTCCGGCGGTATACCAATAGATGAAACTCAAATTTGCACTTACACAAAAGTTGGCCAGGGAGCATGCAGGGGCGATTCCGGTGGCCCATTAGCTGATAGATCTGGAGTACAGATTGGTGTTGTATCATTTGGACAGCCTTGCGCCGTTGGTAGTCCAGACGTTTACACCAGAACGTCTGCTTTCATAAAATGGATTGAGGAGAACAAATACTAATGTTCACCTTTAATGTATTATAAATTACAAAATAATAAAAATCTATTGACTTAATAATTATTAATTAATCTCTCTTTTTTAACTAGGAGGACTGAAGTTCCCACAAAATACATTGGCCTTTTGCACACGGAGCTTGTGTCGTCATAGACGTTTGAATTTCATGCAAATCCGGTGCATAACTAACGGAGATATCAAAAGACCCCTCCTTATTTTTTTACCCACATTGCCTCCGACCTACAACTTTATCGACGAACATGGTCCATGTTTTTTTGCGTTGTAGATAATGCACATAGGAGTACACGCGAATTTAATGGGAGCCGTTACCTTTCAGAGTTTTTCGCAAGGCAATAAAGGAAAGAGAAAGGTTAGAGAGACACACAGAGACCGTGACAGCGCGTATAGTTCGTCCGCGAGAATAGCGGAAATGCACAGATTGCGTAAACCATTTACATACAGTTTCGACTTTCAATTCTCAAAAAAATCATGGGTTGTTATAAATCGTTTAGCACCATTCATATGAGAAGAAAAACAACCCAGCAACCTATTTGTTGTTAATGCATCAATTTCGTATCTGGAAATATTCAGAGACGGTGAATTAAATTATTATGCTCGCTTCTTGACTGACTAAATCATTCTCTTTTTATGCGGAATTAAATGGATAAAATAACGTCAATAAAATCGAGACAAACTCTTCGAAGTAGCGCGTATATTGTTGTGTAAGCAACGGCATGTAGACGTTATTTCGATGTGAGCACCAAAAATCATGACGGGATATCTAATCTAATATCTAATCCTATTTATTAAGTAAAATGACATAGTTGGTTTATTTTACCTGAATTTGTATCTTAGTGTTTGTGATTCCTAAATTTATTACATTCTCAATTCCAAATTTATATGAATATTACTTCTGATCAAGACCATGTAATCAACACATAAACATAAATTGAGTTACAGTTCCGCCAAAAATGAACAAGATATGAAACCAACACAGGTTAACGGTATTTACAGAGCGTTTTGTATTTTTTCCCATACAGCGATTCTGTCAGTTGAGATGCGTTGCCTAACCCTAGGGGTTTACTATTCAATGACATTACCATTGAGTAATTAATCCTTCACTCAACGACATTACTCAAAAACATCTTTCACTTATTCGCGGGAATCAAGTTCCCCTTTTTTAAAAAGGGCTACAACATTCGGTTTGGAAAACACTACTTTCAGTATGGAAAGCAAATCCCTAATTTCCCATGCAAGACCCTGGAGAAATGACTACGGAAGACTCCATATGCCAGACGGTATGATAAGCGGTTAATCTAAGCATTATACCATCTATAGCTAGGTATACCATTATGATAAAAACTCATATAAAATTCTAATATTTTAGTAATTAAAAAAACAGATTATGTACAAATTCCTTGCAATTACATTTTACTGTCAGTTTAAAATTATACTTCCACGACTTTCCGTTCACGCTGCATCATTTCACCTATACAATAACAATTTTGATTAAAATAAAATGTAAGCGAATAAAATTAAAAATCCAACTGAAAAGGTTAATAGTAAAAAAACAGTTAAGTACTACCGACAGAACTTTGCTTCATCGGTTTCAAATCGGAAGACACCTCAAAACTACAACCAGTGGAAGAAACGATGTCTTCTACACCAACTCCATCAGCAATTTCTATAAGAGTCAAACCCTTTTCGGCGTCAACATTAAATACAGCCTAAAAGTGGAACGTTTAGTAAAGGCACTGGTATGCTAGTCTAACCTTTTCTGTAATAATCATATCGACACAATTCTTTCCAGTAAGTGGTAGAGTGCAGTTTTCTAGAATTTTGTGGGCACCGTCTTTTGCAGAGTGTTCCATGCAGACTATTACCTTCGTACCGGGAGCAGCAACCAAATCCATAGCTCCGCCCATTCCTTTTACCATTTTTCCCTACAACTCACAATAGGAAGCCCTTGTTATTCAAACCAGATTGCTTACAGGAATCATCCAATTAGCCAAATCTCCATATTGCGAAACCTCCATTGCACCCAAAATAGTAATATCAATATGACCACTAAGACATATTACCGTTACTACTGTATTACATAAAAGGTGACCTACAAACTTACCCACGAATCATAGCAAAACTGTCGTCACTGCTAAAATAGGAGCCACCTACAACAAATTAAAGCACAAACAATCGAACAATTTAATCTTACCTGGCAATACAGTAACAGTTTCCTTTCCTGCATTAATTAAATCAGGATCAACCATATCAGCGGAAGGATAAGGACCTAAGCCGAGAATGCCGTTTTCTGACTGTAGGACAACGTGCATTCCTTCCGGTATGAAGTTCGAGGCAAGCATAGGCATACCAATTCCCAAATTTGCTACACAATCATTAAGGAAATTTTCACAGAGCTAGCAAGTACAAATAAAAGGATACCGTACATTCCGTGCCTGAACTCTAAAGCGGCTCTACGTGCTATTCGTTCGCGGCGTTCCGCACCCGGGTTCTTTTTCGCAACTGAGTCTTTTGAGCATTCGGTTTTTTGTATTGTGACTTTCTGTTTAACAAATTATCAAATTAATATCTATTATTTTTCATTTTGAATATATTCCCATTAGCCACGTATAGCATGGACACAAAGTGTCTAGTGAAGTTATTTATCAACGTTATTATTCTAAATTTTTTGAAATTTATGTGTTGAAGTTTAGCCTAGAGCTTTTTTGGCATCTCATGCTATGAGTGGCTTTATATTGTGAAAGGCTGACGAATTTACCATGGTGTTATTGTTAGAGTAGTCTCAAAATGAGAAGTACATCGTGACGTCATCACTTTCTGCGCGTATTGTTGCCACTAGTGGCGTATCATAGGGTATTTAAATTGAGGTTTGGAAGTACATTTGCTGTGTGAGGCAATGCACAAATGTCATCGCGCGCGCTCCCCTTAGGAGTTAACATGGACTCTCCCAGACACATTTTCATGCTTTGCGCAAATGACGTCACGATGTACTTCTCATTTTGAGATTACTCTAGTATAATCTTAGAATGAGAAGCTTTACGAGTTAGGGATTTTTTCAATTGTTAGCCAGCAGGGACAAATAGTAATTATACCTCAATTCGTTTTTCATAGTCGCTACCAAGAATTATGCGATCGACAAAAACACCAGGCAAATGAATTTGGTCCGGCGTTATGGATCCCACATCGACAATTTCTTCAACTTCTGCTATTGTTATCTTTGCAGCTTTGGCCATTGTAGGGTTAAAATTGCGAGCAGATTTACTAGAACGAGACTATTAGTACTATTATCAACTTGTATACGAGTTGTACTTGAAAATAATGTTGCCATGACGATCAGCCTTCCACCCCTTGATAAGTGCAAAGTCGCCCGTGATCGCCTCCTCCATGATGTAGGGTCTACCATTGAACAAGTGCTCCTCCCGCTTATTACTGGATATTTCCACCGCGCCGTTCTTTCCATACTTCAGAGGCGCACCACCCTCGTGAACCAAAGTTCCGTAGGCGGTCGGTGTAAAAAATGCCGGTATGCCCGCACCTCCCGCTCTCACTCTTTCGGCCAAAGTTCCTTGCGGCGTTAGTTCCACCTCCAGTTCCCCAGTTAAATACTGCCTTTCAAATTCCGCGTTTTCGCCGACGTAAGACGATATCATGCGCTTAATTTTTTTCTGTTTTAAAAGTAAACCCAATCCAAAATTATCTACGCCTGCATTGTTGGAGACCACTGTTAACTCTTTGGCGGAGTGTTTAACAAGAGCTGCTATAAGTTTCTCGGGAATACCGCATAAACCAAATCCTATGGAAGCGAAAAACAAATACAAGTAGGTACTGAAATTTTATTGTAATCACATAATCCACAATGTATAATCAAACGCAAATAAAGTAGAAAATGTGACAAACAACGTCAATTTGAGCTTGGAAGGGAGGAATTCGCTAACTAATTTCTGCATATCTTGGCGCTGTATGGGGCCCCGTTTACAATAATTCTGAAGATTTATGCAAATTTAATTAGAATATGTTCATCAAAGCTAAACGTTTATTTCCACATGAATTGATCTCCATGTCTTCCCTGCTAACGCTCTATCCCAGGATTTTGAACGGTGATTTTTTGATTTGATCTTTAATTTCCAAAATTTTCCACATTAAAGATTCGAGGCGTTATTTTCATGCAAGAAACCTTCGCAGGGGCAGATTATCCATCGATACAATAGACTGTATAAGAGACTAAAATGTTGGGGAGGGGAGCTGGGGGTGGGGGTTCAATGGACACGTCAAATTTAATTAGCATCAAAACATTTCAATTGAATTAGAAACTGTGTATTTGTCTCCAAAACATTTATACAGTGTGTTCCTAAATATGATTAAGTTCATATAAACATAGGTCCGCAAACGGTTGGTTACCGATCGCGATTTTGCTTTAGGTAGAAGTTTTTGAGAAATTTAGCTCAAATTTCGAATACAAATTACGCTGTAGAGCTTACATCATTGGTTATGTCAATGGTAGTGAGAATCTACAGGGTGGTGTTTTTTTCAGGGGTCATGTTCCATTACCCCACCCCCCACTCACTTGTTTTAATTTTTTTCTGGATTTTTATGTACCTCCAATTCTCTTCTTGGGAATTAGTTTCAGACCAATAGCAATTTTTAGTAAAAGGTGTAGGTGTCCACAATAGCAACTTTCCATTTGAAAATATGCGCTAAAATGTTTACAAAATTGGAAAAAACATACCCAAAAACCCAGGGAGAGCCTTTAGATATTACACCCAAATAAAGATAATAACGATGAGAAAGCAAACGCCTTTGATATTACCAATCCTATCTAGTTTGATTACGCAGGAATACCTCCACATAGAATTTTACTAAATTATCAATCACAGAAACGATGTAAAGTGACTTGATCTGCTGATGTAACCAAATAACAAAACTAGTTACCTCCTACTAAAAGCTTAGCTCCAGAAGGAATATCCTTAACAGCTTCCTCCGCACTACCACATACCTTCTGATGGGTATTACCACTATCAAATTTTGTCGAATAATTGTTATACCATAAAACCTGAAAAAAAATTATAAAATTACGATACAAAATTACAGAAATGTATTTATCAATACATTCTATTTAATACTAAAAAGCGACTTAGTTCCATTCGAGGTTCCATTTGTTGTTTTATCATAAAGCCCAAACCTCAAACAACAAAGCACTATGAAGTGCTTGTCACGTCACGTTAAATTTACTAAGGCTGTGCACTAAACTATTATATTGTTTATTCACAAATACGCAGGCTTGAAGGCTAACTCGAGGTTTTCTGTAAGGTCTCAGTGCTTATATCCCAGCGCCTCAGACGTATGGAGAGACGGAATTAATGCATTTTACATTTTTCTTGAAATACCCTCAACAGAATTTAACCTTCATAGTAGTACCTACATACTTCATTCCAATGTCGCCAATGTTCTAAATTTAATTATTCTTCAAAATCAATCTGCCACCCTTGATCTTGTGCTAAAACCGGCTAAAACTGAGCTTAACCTTACTCAAATCACTGCAGAATGCGTTGTAGGTTTCCCAATCGCCCGGAAATCGCTAATACATTACGTAACAGTCTCTTACAAAAACAACGATCACTGGAACACATGGATCGTCAAAAAGGGTGACTTGGGAGTGTAGGGTGGCTTGGGGCAAAAATATGTATTTTGTTTTATCTCGTATTTTATAATTAAATGTCCCAACACCAAATGGTAAAAAGTGGAACTATAAACAAAGTTTCTTTTATTAGGTTTATATCTTAGCTAAGATATTACAGATTGCCTTTACAGAAAAGCCGAAAAATGCCTTATAATTATAAAAAGAAGGTTGGAAATAAGGTCTATGCCGATTTTAGTAATTTAGTAATTTAATTTTGCCGAACGTAGAACTGTAGAAACTTCATTATACGATCTTAATAGAAATCAATGTGGCGCTAATGTCTTTGTATTTAAAAAACTGGCAGAGTTCCGTGGTCTTTACGCTGTTAGCGAGGCTGTTAGCTAACAATGTTTGCGGCATAAATTACGCTGAGAGCTTCATCAATTGATTTTAACTCGTTACAATAGAGCTTAGGTATCACAAGTTGTACTAACATCGTACAACAAAAGGCTAAGGCCATGTGAAAGTTATTTGCACACAGGTCCAACATGTTCAAGTTACGCCACTGTCCGCTGTGCTGTTACGGCTCTGCCCCCAAACAAAATTCTGAGAGAGCCACTGTTCAACTTCATGTCAGATTTCAAAATATTTTTGAATTTATTTACTTTTAAATTGCAGATCGTGAAAATTTTGCGCAAAAAGGTATTTGAAATTTACACGCTTTCGAACAACTGGTAAGACTAACATATGCGGAATCCGTATGTAGACGCAATCGCACTACTTTAATGTAGTGGTAGATATAGAATGCCTAACCTTACTTTATCCTTCAACAAAAACAGTTTAAACAATTTACCTTAATTAAACTTCTTGATTGTAACACACCCCGTTCACTTTTCGTTTTCACTACCCCGAAAATTCCTCTATCAGCTGTAACTAAAACCGTTTTCCACATTTTCACTGGCGATATTTAACCTACAAATGGCTGCTGAAGAGCTTACTGATCCAACATAAATGAACGAAATCTGGCGTAGATACAGTCGCTTAATTCTGATTAAAAGTTGATAATTTATGTAATTCGAGATAAACTTGTTTAATTAAGCCTTTAAAATTCCATACATAGGAATTAATAGCAAAATACACAATTGATTAACATATCAGGTTTAAATTCAAATAAATAATCAATAACATTACGCCATTTCAATATCTCATTAATTTCAGTCCATTTTTATAAAATAAATATAAACAGAACAATGTTATTTGCATATGTTGTGTAGAAACTTATTGTTTGTTACACACATAGGCGTAACATAACAGAATTTACAGAATGATTAAATAACGACACTTCTCTTATTTTATGGATACAGCCAATGTATATTTATATATTGTATAAAGCGAATCGGAATTCCTTGACGAGTAAAGCACAGTCTGTCTGTCCTTCTGTCGGTCCGTCCGTCCAAAGCCTTAACTAGTAACTACGTCTAGAGTTTTCGATATTTAGCACCTGAGCCAAGAAATATATTAAAATGCGCATGCGCAGGCTGCGCATTATATTGATTTTCTTATTTATTAATATCTATATTTTGCTGAAATTTTAACCACAGGTATTTCTAGTAAAGGCAAAGATATCGCATATAGTAAAAATCAGATAACTGATACGTCGCTTAAAAGCACTATCATTGACGAACAACATGGTTTTTTCCCTAGTCGTTCCACAAACACCAACCTTTTAACTTATCAGCATTACATTCTTAATTGTTTTGATGAAAATACGCAATTAGATTCCGTATATTTTGACTTTTCTAAGGCATTTGATAGAGTAAACCATAATATCTTGTTATCTAAACTTTCTCTCGTTGGTTTATGTGATCCAATATTGTCATGGCTTGGTTCTTATCTAACAAACAGAATTCAAATGGTGAAATATAAAAACTTCATATCTAAACCAATATATGTCTCATCTGGTGTTCCTCAAGGTGCACATTTAGCTCCACTATTATTCTTAATATTTATAAATGATATCAAATCAGTGTTTAAATCGTCCAAAATATTATTGTTCGCGGATGATATAAGAATATTCAGCCCAATAAAATCAATCAACGACTGTATCAATCTGCAATTGGATATCAACGCACTCAGCCTATGGTGTGAAACAAATCAGATGGAACTTAACCTCACTAAAAGCTTTAGTATAACTTTCCATCGTACTGTAAATCCTATTCAATTTACATATACCATAAATAATTGTGCGCTTGAAAGAAAATCTAGCGTTACTGATCTCGGGGTTATTTTCTCTTCTGATCTTTCGTATCAGAAACACATTGATTTTATTTGTAATAAAGCACTGAGACAACTTGGATTTATGCTGCGCTTATCAAAAAACTTTCGCAATCCCTTTATCCTTAAATTAATGTACCTGACTCTTGTTCGTTCCTCTCTCGAATATTGTTCCCAAGTTTGGTCTCCCTATTATTCCACTCCTATTTCAAAACTCGAAAGGGTGCAGCACAAATTTCTTCGTTTCTTCAGGTTTAGGTTACGTCTGAATTCATTTGCATACCATTCTTACCTCTCCGTTCTTAAGGTATTAAGCATTAATACTTTGCTTGCTCGTCGTCAGTTTCTCGATTTTGTCTTTTTTTATAAACTTCTAAATGGTTGTATTGACTCGTCATATTTGGTGGAATTAATAACATTTAATGTTCCTGGAAGATCACTTAGGTTTAGTCAATCGTTTACATAAAACTGTATAAAACGTTATATTTACAACACTCCCCTATTATAAGAATGATGCGTTTCGCAAACTCCTATCCGCAAATTGAAGTAATAGGTGTTAGTTTATCTGAAGTTAAACATAATCTTAAGTTGCTACTAAATGATGTCGACAAATCATACTACCAATGTTAGTTTAGTTAGTTTATTACTGCTCACTATATTTATTTTTAATTTCTTTCTTCCAGTAATTTAAGCATAATTATCTTTTGTATATGTGAATTGTACACAAAACTTTAATTTTTTGTGGGGCCTCTCCCGTAAGACTTATAAATAAATAAATAAATAAATAACTGCATGCGCAGTCTGCCAACTTTCTTATTTATGGAAATATTTTCTTTCAAATTTTATACATAGATGCTTTTAGTAAAAGCAAACGTATTGCATATTCTAAACATCAGATTAATGCGCGCATGTGCAGGATACGCAATATCAACTGTCTTATTTATGGAGATATATGAATATCTTTTTGAAATTTTAATCACAGATATTTCTAGTAAAGGCAAAGATATCGCATATAGTAAAAATCAGCTATCTGCATGCGCAGTCTGCCAACTTTCTTATTTATGGGAATATTTTCTTTCAAATTTTATACATAGATGCTTTTAGTAAAAGCAAACGTATTGCATATTCTAAACATCAGATTAATGCGCGCATATGCAGGATGCGCAATATCATACTGTCTTATTTATGGAGATATATGAATATCTTTTTGAAATTTTAATCACAGATTATAAAAGTGTATTTGTATCATGGCTAAAATCAAACATATCTCAGAGTATAAATCAGATATGCGCATGTGCAGTCCCAACTTCCTTATTTATGAAGATATTTCTTTGAAATTTTAGCCACAGATGCTTTTAGTAAAGAAAAACATAGCCATAACCTTTTGGGAAGTACTGGAGAATACGCTAAAGTTACTCGCCCTACGGCGAAAACCTTTTTACTTGTATGACTGTGAAAGGGAAAATTAATCTACATAAAATTTTATAATTCCTTGCCCATCTAAGCGATTTTGTACCTGTTACGGTTTACGAGATTGCCATCTAAACACCGGAAAAAAACTGACCATGTATAATGTATCTATAACGTTTAAATTGTTCGATCGTCCATATCAGAAACGAGTTTCGTCACTGAAAAATCGTATACACACAAATCGCAACACGAAAAAGTTTTTCAAACTTCAAGATGCCATGAAATCTTCATTATAATATAATGTACCAATTTCGTTAGGCGAACGTCACACAGTCCCTTGATGCACAAAACACATTTTATAAGAGTGGGGGGAAACGCGTCATCATTGGCAGTGGCGTAATAAAACAAAACTGACATGATCTCTTGTGTTTTAAATGACAAGTCAAGTCGACATCACTGACCAGAGCAAATTTTATTACTTCGAGTGCTTCAGATTCCCTCCCCTTCAGAGTCTTCAGATTTTTCGGGCCTTTTGGTTACTTCGTATGCGACGGATTCTTCAGACCTATTTGCACTTTTGAGTGTCGTTTTTTTTTTCATATAGTCGGACTTTCGAATAATTTCGTCGGACTTTCGATTGTATTAAAAAATTTTCAAAACAGAATCATCGAATTTTAAAATATTTCATTACCAGGTCCATAATTCAAATTCTTGAGATCATTTTATTAAATTGTGCGTACCATTCAAATTGGCCGGTGGGTCAGATTGTTCGAAGTTTTTGCACTTTTTAGCAATGTCAATTCTTGAGACTTCTCGGGGCGCGTTTTCTAAATTCGTTCTTTCATTCTCACTTTGCCACTCTCCATAGGCATATAATCACACCCTTGCAACAACTACTGGCAACAAATTGCGACAGTCTTCATTCTTATACGTGTAGTACATACACACATATAGAATTCACGGGCCGACAAACAGACAGACGGAACTAGAGGATATATCCGTTATTCGATTTTTCTGCTTGTGTTAAAAATTTTTAGCATCCTGCATCCCCGGGTAGGTACACAATAACAAACCCTACATAATCTGGCAGTGCCTTATTATCAGTACCTAACAAATAAAAAGTTTATATTTGCGCCAGTTTTCCTAGTAATTGATTTAATTTTCATTATCTTACCTTCCGTGCTTTAGCAAGTTCCATTCTAAACGTATTTCCTCCGGAAAACACTCGGCCGTTAAACTCACAATTCACAACAGCACAATTTGGAGATCTCATGCTAAGCAACTAAACCATCAATAGTCCACGTTGGTGGATTAGAATAGAAATTATATTACGTCAGTTTGCAATTGCTTGCTTTTATAATTGGGGGTCGGGGGATGTATTAGATTGCATAATTGGCGCGGTTGTCGATAAAAGAGTGCATTTTGTTGTAAATTTCATCCAGTTAAATTACAAAAGCATGTTGTTGTGTAATAAAATAAACAATTAATTTTGTATTTGTTACCTGATAACAGCACTTGGTCAGTAAGTTATACTATTCAATAGTAGGTATCTTGCTTCCAGTACTGACCCCATATAGGTACGAAAATGCATTTTAAAAAGTAAATTCCTTGTCCGTCCAATTTGTCACTTTCTAACAATCAAAATGCTTGAAAACCCTAAATGCAAATTTGAAAGAACGATTTATAATGTCTTATAGGATCATAATATGATAACCATGATGAAACCATGAAAAAGACGAATATGTGGAAATTGTTATCAAAAATCGCCGAAGAGGCTGTAGGTCCCCTAGACAATTAATATAATTAATTAGGTACGTATTAATTATCCAATCCTGTTTACATTGTTTACTGTCACTTTTAATCTCTACATTACTCTTAGGTATAGACGCTTTGCTAGTCCGTGTATTAATTTTACATTTCACTGGAAACTGCTAAGTATATTGATCTAAAATGTTGGTAAAAGATACGATTCACTTTGGTTTCACTTAATTAAACCTATCTTGTGAATCCTATTTGAATGCATGCGTTTCCAGGGATGTTATTTGTAATTTGTTTGATAAATTTGACGATGTGATGAAACATCGGTCAAGACAAGGAGACAAAATATCTCCATCCAGCACACCACCTCCGTTGGCCACGTTTTCGGGTGTGTGGCTATTGAAAATTTTGCTAAAAGAGTCTTTATAGTAACTTGGTATTTTACCACAAAGTTATCCTTCGACTTGTATAGGTGTGTATGAATTCCTGCGTCCACCTGCTAGTTGTTCACGATAGACTGTTCCGTTCTCTAGGTCCGTGTAATCAATTTTCATGATTTTGCGCTTATTTTTTTTGTATTTATGATTTAGTTAGTATATTTTATGTTTTTACTTTTTTAGTAATTGGTGTTAGTAACCGTAAGTACTAGAATTTGTCAATAATGGTCTCAAGCAAGAGATTAAACAAGCAAACCAAGCCCACTACTACATACATGGGTGTTGCCAGCGCAACCTATTCACAATGGCAGACGGACAGACTACCTTCAAAGTCGAGCGTGCATAAACAACGATTTTGGGAAAAAATATTTTCGTCGCTAATATAGGAAGATGACTTCTTGGGCATCGAGCAATCTAGTTCCCAAGAACATGGGTGCATAATTAACGAATTGGTATTTTTTGAGTAAAAACATTTTGGTCGCCAAAAATACGCATGTATAATTTCTTGAGTATCTAACAATCGAGCTTGTTCTTTTTCCGAAGATAATTGATGCATAAATAACGATTTTGACATCTTTAGGCTAAAAACATTTTTGGCACCAAAAATGCATATGCATCACTTCTTGGGAATCAAGGAATAGAGTTTTGCCATTTTTCAAACAATATGGATACATCAATAACGACTTTGACCGATTTTGGGCAACATGTAACGATTTATTTTGTCCATTACAAAGCAATATTATTGTTTTGAAAGATCCCTGTAACATTGAAAGCAATTTAATGGCTAGCTCCACCTATTGTTGGAATTTAACAACGCAATTTTAACTAAGCAGTTTGCCCGCGCCGTGATTTTTGGTTGTCGATTCTCATTTTCCTCTTTCTTTCGTAGACATTGGCCTATTCAAACAGCTGAAAGCTTAAGGTAGAACGCATGGAATTTTAATTGCCACCAATCCATATATATTGATCTCTGGCGATTAGATTCATAATTTAGGGATTCCGCGGTAATTAGTTTGAACCGAATTTGACCTATATTCTAGTGAGGATATAAATTACGTTCTTCGTTTCTTATTATTCGCTAATTTGTCATACTGCAATTTCCATCGACAATTGCTGCTTCATCTACAATTAGCCCCCTTATTTAAGATGTATGTAAATTTTATGTCATCAAAGAAGAAGGTGTACCTTTTATTTCTTTTAGGGTTTTAATTTTAAGTACCAGATCCGTTTTACTATACCTAGCATGCTTGTTCGACGTACGAGTTTGGTAACCTTGGATTAAGCATTGGATTAAGAAAAAACTATTAGGTGGTTACAGTGAAACAGTTATGCGATTTTTAAGAAAAACTAAGACTGCTATAAAATTCAATTTATGTTGTTTGGTTTAAAGGTAACAACATTATAAGGGACGGACTTCTTTTTTGATCAGGAACAACTAAAGGAAGGTAGTGTTAAAATGACTGTTAATCGTTTCGTCATAAGTACTGATTTCTCTAATATAACGCAATTTACTTAATAACATCAGGATGCGTAGATTTTAAATAGCCGCAGTTGTCATTCCAGTTTCTTGATAACTTTTACCAATTTGCACAAACTGGGCAGCTGTACTCTCGCTTTACTCCTTATATTGCGATCTTCAATGACTTCTGGATTAAATAACTTGCTATATTATTATGATTGCAACTATATTATATGGACACTGATATTGATACGTGCTACTTTTCATACAGTATTTTTTGTTATAGTATTATTGTCTATTTTTACGTGGTCTCCAACTGAACCATATGCCTACTCTCAGGTTGGAAACAGAAACCAACTTGGTTATACATAAACGGTAGGAATAGGATAATCTAATTCAATCTGATTCAACTTCAAAGCGATTATTAATTGTAGTAGGTATTAAGAAGAATCATGTTTTCAGTCGTTCATACCTATTGGTGTTATACTTTACTCTTATAATTACACAGTGCAAATTTCATATTTTAAAAAAATGTGACTTAGATTTTATATTTACACTTACAGTACAAGCTTTAGATGGAAATAAATTAAAACAATAATGGTAGGTAGAATTTCATACGAAAAAAATCGAAATTTTACAGATGGAAAAAATTGCACTCAAAATACTAATCACTAAAAGCTATCGCTTTATTACGATAAGCAAATTATCTGACTAATCGCAATTAGCGAATTAGGTTACCCAGTCTTAATACTTAAAATCACGATAGTGGCACATTGTTAACGTTTTAATCGTCCCGCCCGTGCGTCCGTAATCGCACCCCATAATTCTATAATTAAATCATCTGAAAATCCAAATTCTTCGAGATCCGAATTATCGATCGCCTCGGCGAAGTCCATCGAGTTCGCTTTGCCTATTGCCATTTCCCAAATTTGCGTGGCTAAGTCCGCATCGTTTATGCCTAGGAAGGTTTCTAAGATTACGTTGATCTTCTCCACGCCGGCGTTCATTTCGTCGTTCTGGAAAGAAGAACAATAAGGACTTGGGGATTTGAGTTAATTGAGACTTACTTGTTCTTCAACTTCAGCTTTGCCATTGGCCTTAAATCGAAGAGTCTCTCGCCCGGTCCCATAACCTGCTTTTTTATTGGGCGTCTTGGGACCGCTTTTTGGTGCTATACTACTAAAACCAGTCTTTAAAGGCTCCACAAGTCGTATAGTGAATGTTGAGCCCTTCGGTATCTCCTTTAAAACTTTCGCCACCTCGAAATGCCGTTTTCCTACCATGTTTACATCGTTCAATTTTTCTATATGGTCTCCCACCTTTTCAAAAGAGCGTGAGATTAACGTCTTAGTCCGAGCATACTCACTTGTATGTGTTGAACTTCGTCGATCACGGAGCCTTCCTTGATTCTTTTTATAAACGCGCATCCTGCACCGTTGTCTGTAATTGTCAAACCGAGTGCATCTTCAGATTTAATCAACTCCACTTCCTTCGGTTGACCTACATTAAACAACACGGATTACAGTTTCTTGTGGAATAGAAAATGTGAATGCACCAACGCCCACATATAATTACAATAATTGTGGTTAATTTTTGGGCGGCACGCACCTAAATATCAATTTCATTATACAACTTAACTGCTTAAGAAGAATTGCTCTAAGCACAAGGATGAATTACGTACCCTTTTTGTGCACGAATATGAAATCTTCTAAGCCAATTTGCCCTCCAAGTAATTTCTTCATGTCGATTTTGTATGTGTTTAGCGTGCAGAAAAGGATCTGAAACAAAAAAAAAGGTGTAATTAGACAGTGGGTTCTAGCCCTAGGCACAGTGCAAATTGAGTCATTTTGCTGGAACTGCCTTTTCGTGTCTTACGATACGCCACACAGACGCCGGTTTAGCTTTCAAGCGTGATTATAGGATTATATCTGATGACCCGCCAACCGAAAAATGAGTGCTCATCATATGCGAACAAACTTGACCTTTCTTGAAAATGTGTTCCTTGTGATCATCAAAGAAGAAACAATAATTGCTCACCAAACTAGCATTTCCATTCCCATTATGGGATGTTATGTCCATCCACTAATTTAAGCATCAACTGCTTCCTGTGATTATCTAATTGTTACAGACGTGCTACAAATGGTAGGTGAAAAGGTGACATCAACTTACACTTTCTTTTATTACAGCTATCTTCACCATGAATAGGTAGGTATTTCGAAACGCTTACCGAATACTGTTACGTTCCCATAAAATGCTAATTTATTTCTTTAGACCATAAATTAATAACTTGAGAAATTCAAATAATGGGCCATTTTTGACAGTGTCTCGAAAAAGTGTAAAAAACTGCAAATCACGATTTCCATTGTATTATTACGCGAATGCCTTACTTAGATATATCAAAAAAGGAAAAATGATTAATGGTGTGTATAACCACAACACTATTTTGGTCAACTTAATTAATTTTTTGTACGTTTTCAGTGAATGCATGGGACAACTAGCCTCATTCGTATATGTTGACTGCATTTTTAATTAAAATAAGGCATCTTCTCGCACCTTGACGGTAATTAATAAGTATAACAGAGCGTTTTATTCCAACCTTTTTGTTTGAGTTCTACATGCATGTGTAACTTTTAACTTACAGAAACGCCTTTCATTAGTACTCTTTTTCCTTACTTATTTCATTTGCAATTTTTTTTACTTCGTCCTACAAGTTTATTTATAATAACATTTAATGCTACATAATTGATTCATTCACTCACCAATGCCGTTTTTATGCCTTAATATGCAGACACAATTTTTTGTTAAAAAAGTGAAGTTAGGCAATTATTAGATATTATTGCATTTATTCAATTTGATAAGACATTGTAAAAGAATAAATATGAAAGTATTTTTGTGTATCTTTAAAAATTATTCATTAGGATGTTTTGGTATAAAAGAGTGTTTAAAGTAAATGGGGTCTAGTTTAGACAATAATCGATAACACTTTGTTTATGCGATAAGATGAGGGTTTTAAAAGTTCGACGAAATCAGTGTAAGGTTTTTATGAAAGTGGAAGTGGGGTTTACAACAATGTTTATTTATAAAAGGCAGGTGTGGAAAAATGAAGAGCGGATTTTTTGTAGTATTTATGGCCTTTTGAAGTCATTTGTTTATAATTTATAGTTTTGACCAAATACCTCATAACTACAGACTATTAGATCTGTGTTTAATTAAAACAAAAAAATGTTGAGTTTCTTCCAAAATTCAAATGATCTGGAGCAATCTCATTTACCACCAATGCTGGTTGCCCTCAATCCTCACCGTAGAATTGCTAGAAATTTCAGATTAGAGTAATAATCTGAAAAGACCTTAATTGCGCGTAATTATCTAACAAGTAATCATACAAATTAACTCTCTAACTTTTACTTATACGGTAACATAATCAGAAATTCCATACATTTTCGAACTTTACGATTACTTTTATTTATAAATCAATAACAGGCGCTCAACGGCTCAATTAGATCAGTACTCGGCGATTTTGCACAAAATTGGGTGAAGGTATTTACGGAAATGATATTTTGATGAGACGTCCTTGTAAGTGAACTTAGCAACATTAAATAAGTCAAGGTAAACGTATGACGATGTTAAAAGGATTGCCGCATTCTCGCTTGGTAAACACAATTAAATATTGCCCAATTAGAACTTTATCATTGATGAAACAATAGAATATTTTAAGCATTGTTTAAGTACCTACACATTTTTCGTATACACGTTTTTTTTTCAGTGGGTCAATTTTCAAAATCTCGATTTTTGGAAACGCTGTTTTGTAATGCGAACTGTCCCACGTTGGCAAGATTACTTCATTTTTGGGTAAATTTAATAATTACTGCGTGTACCAGATTTACCAGTCGATATTTACCAAACGTGAGATTAACAGGAAATACGGTTGATGCTTTGCAGGATGTCCATCTGCTGTCGCGGGGTGACTAACTGTTTAACTCTGCCTAATTAGTGGGGTCAGGTTTTATTGAAACCAACGCATATTTTAAGGCAAATGTAACATAAATGTTAATCTATCATTTACTCTTACACAAAAAGGAAGAAACCTTATAAAGTAACGGATCAAGTGAACGATTGATAGGACTTTACCATTGTATAGGCACAATTTATTAGCAAGCAAGTTCAAAAGTTTACAAATACAATCTATATAGGGAACAATTTTATATAACCCGTGAAAACAATGACGAAACGCAACAATTTTTTACTATCAAACCTGCTTCCTCATTTTTAATTCTGAGTAAGTAAAGACTAAAGAGGTCTACAAATTGCTAGATTTTTGCATTTTTGGTACCTAGCGGATGGAATATTGAAAATTGCCCCCTTATGCCTACTAAGTATCTTTTCTCCTAATTGAAAAATTTGCTTATGGTTATTTGTATGTTGCAAAACATTATGAGGATTCGAATTTTCCAAATCTTTTCAAAATTAAAGTTTGTTCACAGAGCCATCCCATCTGAAAATAGGAATTTGCCCCAAAGGTATACTCAACAACTCACTGAAGTCATACATTCGCATCGTCAAAAAAGGTAACCTCTAAATGGTACTTTTTCCACGCTAAAATTATACTATAATGAATAATGAGGAAGGAACTTATATAACGAATAAGAAATGCAGGTTATAAAATCTCTAAGTGTGTACCTACACAATAATTTTACGATATCGTGACAAGCAGATCAATTGGCAATAAATCGTCTTCGTGCAGCCGATTCTAGATTCTTAAATAGTGTGTTAATGGCACAACAGTTGATCTGTATATGGGAGCAGTAGATGGAAGTTAGATGATTGGTGAAAGTTGTTTTGTCACATTGAAATTGAACTAAAGTGCAACCATTGAATATTATTCAATGGTGCAACTTACAGTTATGCGTGCATAATTAGCATCATTAGTTAGGTACCTACCTAGTTAATGATGATTTGGAACAAAATTCGAATGGAATATGGTTCAAATTCCAGACACGGATAACGTAATTGTTTAACCTTTAACAGTTAGATTAATCTAAACAGAATACATAGTTTGACTCACGTGATCTGGAAAAGTGAACTTTTAAATGACCAATAAACACAATTCTTCCATATGCTGTGGATAGTATTTTGTATATAAATACAAAATGAGAAATTAATTTATAATTATGTCAATGAATAGGGCAATTAGATACAATTATAACATAGAGACGCCATATTGACCGCCTAATAGTACATTATATATCAAGGTAGAGAAGTACAGTATTATTGCCTGAGCACCAAGATTACATCTCGAGGCGCTTGCGCCGAGGGGTGTAAGGTGCGAATGCAATAATAGACTTATCTACCGTGGTATATATTATATATACTATTTTTTTCACTACTAGCACTTGAAATCTTCTAAATTAACATATTATATTGATAAGAAAGTGAACGATTGGACAGAATTTTTTGTTTCTTAATTTAACATGTCAATCTAGTACGTAGAAGTACAAGTCAAACAGGCCGTATTTTGTTCTGTCATTGAGATATTTTCAAAGAGTAATTTCGTTCGAATTTTTTCAAAATCTGATAATTTTAGGTATGTAATTTCTCTGGAAATGGCGGATGATGGCAATTATTCATTTTAGAGAACTTGTCTAAACGTTTATTGAGCGAAATTTCGGGTTGTGTTTTCTAAAAGTGACAGCGTGACAGTTCTCATTATTGACTACTAGTTAATAATATCCACATTATTAACCACTTTGAACAAATGCCGAGAAAGCCTACTTTACAAGTGGAAAAAAGGTTAATAATCATGTCATCAGACGCTAGTAGTGAAAAAAATATTGTTTACATGGCGCGTGTTGCGTAATTGTTTTCCTACGCAATAAACGCAACATAGCAATTGTTCCAGGGCGCTCTAGATAATCATCGATAGGAGCTGAAAGCGCAGCTAGACTTGTGACAAATCCGTTCCTATATTTTGTTGACGTGACACATATAAATCTATTCTTTAATTTGTTTCTCAGAAATCATAACACATAGGAAGATGATATAGACGACTTTGTCTAGGTTTTTGATTTTTCAAAAATGTTAGAGGGTTGCGAAAAAAATTCTGATCTAGGCCAAATTTGGTAAATTCATGTGTGAAGTTCCACTCTTAGATGTAAATCAGAAACTTTCGCGGGCATACGTAATTGTTGCGTTGACCGTCTATTTTTTTGCCTCTCGCCTGAAGTTGACGATGTGGATTCTCGTAAAGCCGTAGTAGATCTCGGGTTGGCACTATGGATTATTTATATTGCGATTTAAAATGACGGAACAGAGACAAATTGTTTTTTACGTCTTTCCGTACATTTTTTTGGGAATTATCTTATCTTATGGAAACCTTATCCTGATAATAACAAACACAATAAAAAAGAATACATACAGTTCCGCGATTCATTTTTATTTATACATACAGGTTGTATCAAATTTCGTTTGAAGCACAGAGATCTCGCTTATTAGCATAGATAGGGAGTTGGTTAAATGGCCAAAATGATCTTGGACTTATGCTTAAAGAAAATCAGCTTAGAAAGGAGGTCATCTAAAAAAAATCTTCATTTCAAAAATGTATAGCATGTTTATAAAAAAATTAAAAGAAACACATTTTGAGTGACATTTGACAGTTTCTTCAAACTATTTTGATTCTCCATATCCTTTGGATTCTCCTATTCTGTTTGTTTTTTTTTTGAATTTTTCAGTTTTTTCGAATTCGTTTTCGTGATTATTCTTTTCTTCCGTTGAATTCCAGATC